TAAAGACTCCCTGCCCTCCATTTCGGGGCTCCTAAAGGCTTCCCCGGGGCAACAGGGAGCTTTGGCCAACCTCAGTAACTAAAGGAAGTAAATGGACATGAAGCTTTTAATTACCTTAAATTAAATGTATCTGGTATCCAGTCTGGTGCAAAGTTATACATCAGGATTTTGTCCATTGTCTTCAGATAAATCTTTGTTTTAAATATCCCTACTATAACAGGAAACACTACAATCTATGTGACACTAATATTGGTTCATGGCTCATTATGTTTTGAGATGCACTCCCTTCCTTCTTTTCCTTGCAATAACTTCTGTCAAGAGATACATTTTTAATTAAAACCAGGCAAATGTTGTCTGTTTTCATTTGAATTTATAGGTATATTAACTCTGTCTAAAGTATTGCTACAGAACATTATAACTGAGCTGAACTGCCCACCATTTCTTTGCAGACATACAATATTTGTCAGCAACACTTCATCCTTGCCCATAACAGACCTAGCCAATGCTACCACCAGGCAGGACCGGTTCGGTGGCCTACATTTCTTTAACCCCGTGCCTCTGATGAAACTTGTAGAGGTAAGAGGATTCAGAATACAAATTGCAGCATGCTCAGTATGCACTAGTACCTCTCTGCTGTTGAGATTCTCTCTGCTATTCAGATTCTCTTTGCTGCTATTCTCCTGCCTTAATCTAAGAAGTATGAATTCCAATTTTAAAGTAAAGGCATTGAGAAGTATCCTGGCGCACAACTGTGTGTTTTTAATGGTGAACCTTCCAACATTAATGATTGAGAGAATGATCCATGGCATCATCTCATAGTGTTAACATTATGCTTTAAAGCTGGCCATGCTCGTTGTGGTCTTTTAAAACCTTTTCGTAGTATTTGGGTAATTCACCAAACTTCTGGATATCTCAGTGGTTTATGTATGTTGGATGTGGAACTAGGGGTTGGGAGTTTGATTCCCCACTATGACCTCTTGACAGGGGCTGGCCTCGATGAATCCCTTTCATCTCTGCAGTTTTGAGATTATTACTATTATATTATTCTTTTTAAGACCATTTGAATTAGTGGGACTTTAACTGCTGATGGAAGAAATCTTTATGTGAATCTCTATTAGAAACATAAAGGTCTCTGCTTGTGTTGTGGTTTAGTGCAGTAGTTTTCAGCCTTTGGGTCCACTTTAAACGTCAACTCCCAGAATGCCTGCCCATTGGCCATGTGGGCTGAGATTTCTTGGAGATGAGGTCCAAAACACTAGAGAGTCAAAAGATGAGAATTACTTGCTTGGTACCTAGAAGAGATGGCACTGCCCTGTAAGCTCATTCATAGCCAATTTTAGCATTTTCAGGTACATTTTAAATAACTGTGTGGCTGGATTGTGGCCCCTGCACATTACCATTTGTTTGCAAGTAAAGAATATAAATGGCAGTTGCTTATGGGTAGGAGGACTGTCTCTCAAATTACCATCTCATATTGAAAATCAAAGCAGCCTTATTATGTCAGGTCAGTGATTAGTACTGGAGCTGTCTTGCTTTTCCCCTTTCTGTTGAAATGTAAATAAATGAGCAAATAAACAAAACATCCCTTGAGTGAACTTAAAGTTTGTATCCCGTGGCAATCCTTAAAGTAGGACAGACATGCCATCCTTTTCTCTCCAGGGTTTGTTTTCAGATTCTTTCCCTGGCCTATTGGGGAAGAAATAAAGCGGATTGCTTAGTTAGGATGTTGTGGCAAACAAACAATGGACAGAAAGTTCATGGTTTTGAGCTATTCCTATTTGGGATACGAGTAATCCACCACTGTACACCAGCACATCTCCTTGTTCGTGGCAAGATACCAGATTGCTTGGACATGAGCAGAGCAAAAGATTTTACTGTTAAGACTTGACTATTGTTTGGTTGTAGCCTCTTCGACATAATAGTTGCTTCAAGAAAAGTAACTGATTGATGACGTAAGGAAATATCCGTGTCCCTCCACCTTGGTGATGTCTTTCTTCCTAGGTTATCAAGACACCAATGACCAGTCAGAGGACTTTTGAGTCCCTCATGGATTTCAGTAAAGCCCTTGGGAAGAATCCAGTATCGTGCAAGGTGAGTAGATATTAAATTAAAGGAGACTGGGCTTTGTCAGATCACAACTAGGATTTTTCTGAAATCATTTTTTACCAAGTTGTCTTTTTTATTCAGATTAGGAATGGGTAACCCGTGGCCCTCTGAATGTGGCTCAGCTCGCGCTCCAATTGTCTCTCTCACCAGTGACTTCTGTTGGATAGAACTGGTGGAAGATACTGTCCAATATCAATTGGAAAGCCACAAGTTCCCAACCCTAGATTTAAATAGAGAAGGAACTCAGAGAAAACTTAATAGTGGATTTTTTTAAGGAGGCAATGATACCTCCTTTATGGCAGTTGTGAACTTGGAAAACCAACTTTTAAAAGGAATTCATTGTGTACATTGTTACAAAGCCCCAATAAGTACACATTTATGTTGCATTAAAAAAAAGTCCATCTAAAAGGGGAGGGATATGAATCCCATCAAAAACATCAAAATGTAACAAGAAAAAGTTACTCATTACACAAAATGGAGACAATATAGCTGTTCGTATCTTATTCTTTGCAAAACAACCATTATGTTCAGAAATAACTTTTTATAAATAATATCATTACTTGGAATATGTTCTTTCCAACCTCTGGGTATCTGGAATGTAGAATGTATATCAAATAGTTTATGGACAATCCAGAAGAAGGTGCAGGCAACTGCTTTGGTGGCACTGGCTATTCTGCTGCAGCCTATGAGTGACCAGTGCTTCTTCCTGCCCCATGCAACGTTTGTTGACTTTTAGAAAAAGATAAAGGTAGAGGTGTGAAACCCTTCTAGAGCCTCCTTTGGGCTTTGTAAGTGCTCCCTATGGAATGTGAAAACAGTTTTAACCCTTTGTATTGCCTCAACAGTAAGGAAAATTGATGCATACACAATGTCAAGATGCCAACTGTGTACTCTTAGAATGAAAGTTCAACTACTCTCTCTCTTCTGGCCAGACTAGCTACAGATTTTCTTCCAATTTAGATGTTTAGTCCAAATCAAATGGAAGATCTTTGTGGGAGATGGGGAAGTTTTTTGAATTCTGCTCAGCAACATAAGCTGTGGTCTCTAAATGATAAGTTGTAGCGCCAGAGAGAGACGGGCTTTAGTTGGTCCCCAGTTCTGATCTGCTGTCAGTTCATTAGATAGCCACAGGACAGAGAAAGGCCACTTGCTTCCCAGCCTATTTTTTGAGTTACAACAAGAGCATGTGTCTGTGAAACGCTTAGGAAATGTTAAAGTGTTATATATAAATGCCAATGTATTATTGGCACAACAACAAAAAGTGTTCCACTCTTATGATGACCCTTCTGTTTTTCGTAGCCTAGGACACCTATTCAAATAATATTCTTATTGTAATATTTTAATTACAGTGGGGTCTTGACTTGAGAACTTAATCCGTATTAGCTTATTTTGTGAGTTACAATAAGAGCATGTGTCTGTGAAACACTTAGGAAATGTTAAAGTGTTATATATAAATGCCAATGTATTATTGGCACAACAACAAAAAGTGTTCCACTCTTGTGATGATCCTTCTGTTTTTCGTAGCCTAGGACACCTATTCAAATAATATTCTTATTGTAATATTTTAATTATATGATAAAAATGATCTGTTTTACTCTCCATCTTCTATTCACAGGACACTCCAGGGTTTGTTGTCAACAGACTGCTTGTGCCTTACCTGATGGAAGCAATTCGACTTTTTGAGAGAGGTAAAGACGAATGGTGTTTATACAATACTGTTGGCTTATTTTGTGGTGCTTTTAAACTTGGCTCTTATTGATTGTGGCTGTTCATTTTGGTAACTACCATCTGTGTTGTGATGAACCAGAGGTACTATTTAGCCTTTGGGAGGGTTGACCTTACTATTAGTCAAGGTGAGGCGACTACTTCAGGAGGCAGATTTTGGAGGTCAGAAAGAAGGGCAGAAAATTGGTAATTTATTTTTTTCCTCCTGGGATGGGGAGAGGTGCTTTGGAGAGCTTCCACCTCATGTGTTGGAATAATTTACCTCAGGTTGAGTATTGTGCCCCTTGATTTCGGTAGGTGGGGGTGCCGTTTGTTGTTCTGCCTCAGATATGAAGTATCTTGGGGTTCGGCCTTGCCTTGGTGAGAGAAATAGTATTTCAGGTTCTGCCCTTCTGCAGTACAACACTATATGTGGACTCAGGCTCAGAAGACTTGCGTTCAGTATGCATGTATATTGGTTCAAATATGGAAATTCACTGGAGGTATGTTGGAACTGTAAAACAACTCCTTGATCAGTTCATATACCTCCTTGAAAAATGACTCCTCAATCATCTTATGTACGTCAAAAACCTTATCATGGTTCACTTAACAGCATAGAACAGCGTAATCACAGTAACTTAAATGATCACTTAAGTAGTACAGAGGGGGCAAAAGAGGGTGAGCTGGAGTCCATTAACTGGTGGAATAAAGTACTTAGGGAGCAGTTGTTGCTCAGATGCTGTGTTGATGGAAATGGAGAATTAGTAATATCATCTTTGAAATCTCAAACCTACTTACCTCTTGAAGCAGGCCTTGTCTTCTTCAGAGGAAACCCACTTGCTCTGTGATGAGCTAAAGAGAAAGTGTATATCTGTTTAGACTTAAGCCCCCTTTCATACCTGTCTGCTAGTAAAGAATGTTATTTCAAACATTTTATTTGGAAGAGAGCCTTTTTTTACAGATGAAAGGACTCCATTATCAAGATCTCTGTAAATACATTTTAAATATTAAAAGCTCCCTTTGTAGATCATAAAAGTGTCTTCAGCTTGTGAAACAAAATTAACCATACTTCTTGCTCATCCATCAACAAATACCGCTAATTACTCCTCAAAGGCAGAATAGGAACAAATTAGTGATCTCTTTTCTTTTCTTTCTTTTTAAATGTAGAGGAGTGGCATTGCACAAACAGCCCTTGGTTCTGTCTAAAACATCGACATATGAAGTGCATCAACTAAATGTTGCTTTTCTGTGTGCATAAAATATGTAACTATTAAATTTACATGGATGAAATAATAGATGTGGCCTTTTATTATTAAATACGTTTTAAATCCATCTTTAAATAGAAATGTCCTGATTACAGCTTTCACTGTGACTTCAGGGGGAAAAGAGGACTTGGGAGTATTTCGAACTTGCAAACTAGGGGAACAGCAGGAGAGGGTGTGCTGAACAAGGTGTCATAGTAAATAGATTGTTATCTCACTGTAGGATGGTGTTTTGGTTCAACTGCATAGATCAGTTTGCAAAAAAAAATTAGTAGTAGAATATTGGCAAAAAAAAATGGACCACACTGTAATTCCTACACATGAAACCATCAATAGTTAATGCCTTGGTCTTCAGTCTTTAGGCAAAAAATAAATAAAATAATTCAAAATTTAAAAAAAACACAAAAATACTAAGATGAAAAAAATATTCTAGCATACAGTGTACCAAACTTTATCTTGCTGTCTTTATTGCTTCGCCTGTTGAGGAAATTCCACAGAAACATTGGACCAAATCCTGTTTGTTGTCACCATGGGCACAACATCTTGTTCCATGTGTGGCTGTCCTTTTTTGAGTTTTTGATTATTTTTTTATTTTGACAAGGGGGATCTCCACGTCATACTTATGCATGTGGAAGTCCCACTGATCACAGTGATCTCCAGCTTGTATAAATGCAAGCAGAGATTGTACAAAGCACTCCTTCCATGGAGATGTGTTTCCTGACAGGATTCAGCCCTTTGTATCCTGTAAAGGATTCTAGGATATTATTCTAGGCAAGCAGTGATATTTAAGCTTTGTTTCTTCTGTAGACATTTTCAATATTGCTGGAGTTCTCAACAGACTATTTACATTTGCTTTGTTCTAAAATTCATATTTTAATAATCATGATCTTGCATTTTCTAACGCAGGTGTTTTTGTGAGGCTTCCTTTTTTTGCAAACAAAACTAAGAGAGAAATTCATTTCTCGAAGTGTCTGTGTTGATCATTTCAAAAATGCGTAGTCCCCCATTGCCCTCCTTTTGAGAAGGAAGGGCTCATCTGAATAGAGCTTGTTAACTGTAAATAATCACACACAGTTGCAAGGTTCTCTTCTCAAGTGCAGGGTGAGGAGATTTTATCCCTCTCAATGTTGCTGAATTAAGTATTCTCGCCATGCCTGACCATAGAAACTCAAAAATTTGCCTAATATTGAATCAGACCCTGTGTCCTTCTAGACCCATACTACAGTGGCCCAGAATTTCAGGCTGGAATTTTTCTAGCTCTCCCTGAAGATTCCAGGGATTAAATCTGCAACCTTTGTCATGTAAAGCAGATGCTGATTTAGGTCCATTGTCTGGAACTGGAGTTAGAATTCCAACTCCTGTTAGAATCTAACATCTGGATAGTCATTTGTTTCTTACTGCTCTTATAGACTGCATGTGTAGTTTCTTTGAGACACCAAAAAGGTGTTTGTGTGTGTGTATGTGTGTGTGTTGTCTTGCAACTTGAATGCATATACCTACAGCTGCATTGAAAATACTTTTGTGTTTCTCCTTTTCCCTGGTAACTGGATGGAGACAGGAGAAAGCATAGCAGGAAGTACACCACTGTGTGTTGAACTCCAGGCACCATATAGTCATTGGCTGCATCTCTGATCTCTGTTCAAAGCCACGGGAGGTCCAATATCCACAGCAAATCCTTAGTGGATACTGTGTTCTTGAAAGCTGCCACTTTGAGGTTCTGTGAAGTGCTGTTGCTTTGTGATGGAAAACTGCACCAATATGTCATGAAAGGGAGAGTGGATGCTGCTGAACTTTGCTGATGGGCCTGTCAATATTGTCTCTAGGAGATGCATCAAAGGAAGATATTGATGTTGCCATGAAGTTGGGGGCAGGCTATCCCATGGGCCCCTTTGAACTCCTGGACTATGTCGGTTTGGATACCACTAAATATATTATAGATGGTATGTATGTTTTCCAAAAGCAATCAAAGTGAGATTTAAAAAAACAAAACAAATTGATTTTCCTTGTATCCGAAAACAAATCCAGTGTATTGCACACATTTAAATAATTGTAATTGGCGTTACCCATTTATTCTCTATACCTGTTTTTCGTACAATCAATGCTCTTTCAGCCCTGTTGAACTCTGTTTCCGTTTTCTTCAGGTGAGAAACCTGTTTCTTTCCGAGAAATCGTAATGGCTTCTTACTGTGGCGTTTTGGGTTTCTTTCTGATACGAGGTGGGATGGTTACTGGGACAGTTACTTCAGCAGACTCAAAATGCTCCATCTAGATTGCTAAGTGGTCAGCAGGTGGTTACAGGCATCAAATAACTCCCCAACTGCAAAAAATCCACCGGCTGCCAGTCTTTTTCTGGGCACAGTTCAAAGTGCTGGGTTTTAACCTGTAAAGCTCAAATGGTTTGAGTCTGTTTTAACCCTATAAATGGTTGGAGTCTAAACTCTATGAAATACCATATCTCCCTGTATGAGACTGCCTGGGTTTTAAGATATTCCAGGGAAGCCTTTCTGTAAGCTCCACCACCTTCACAGATATAATTAGTGAGACATGGGAGAGGACCTTCTCCGTCGCTGCTTCCAGACTCTAGAGACCTTCCTCCCACTGGAGGCCAAGCTGGCCTTTCTTTGCTCTCCTTTCACAGATAAGCAAAGACCTTTATCTTCAGGCAGCCTTTCCCTTAGTGACTGTCAAAGGTGTTTTTCTTTTAATGGGACTATTGTGTTTTTGTTGGTATTAATGTGTTTTAAACACTACTTTTACTTGTATGTTTTAATATATTTGTTTAATTCTTTTTAAATACTGTAATAATTTGTTGTTTTAGCTTTTAATATTGTTTCTTTTAATACTGTAAGCTGCCTTGGCTCCTTTTAGGATAAAGGCAACATATAAATACCTTAAGTAAGAAAGTAAGTATGTATAGTTGATGAAGAACTGCAGTTCTTTGTAAAGGATTGGAAGTGGAGTTAGACAAAGGGAAGGAACAGAATGCATGCTCCCCATCGCAATCCAAGGAAAACCAATGCTCTTATCCCCCTACGCCCCAATTTTGGGGCGGGATGGCTCTGTTAGTTACGTTATCTGTCTGCAGAGCTAGATACTGAAAGTTTTATTTTCCACTGTGGAGAAGAGCCAGGCTGTATAGCCTTGGGCAAGTTGGACAGTCCCAGGGCACCCCCTGGAAGAATGGGATGGAGAACCTCTTCTGAGTTCTGTATATCTAGAAAACCCTGGAAATGATCGCTGTAAGTCAGTTGACATGATAGCACCTGATTATTGCTGTCTGGCTAGTTGAATAAATCAGGTATCTGGTTACAGAGACACACGTTGGGAATTCAGCTTCCCACTGTGCATTCCATGAAAAGAGTGAGCCTGCATGGCCTTGGACATGGCCTTATGGGTCCCCTAGAAGATGGCAGTGGTAAACCAGTTCTGAGTACTCTGTAGCTAGACAACCCCAAAAGGGTTTGCCATAAGTCAGAATCTGAATTAACAGCACATAATTACTATTCAGAAAATGTCCCCTCCCCATCCAGAAAGTTGAGCAGACAACTTTTCTAGATTGTGGGGAGGCATGAGTATTTTAAGGCTAAGGAAAACTCTGTGTGTGTGTGTGTGTCTGTGTGTCTGTGTGTCTGTGTGTGTGTGTGTGTACACACACACTATTTTGGGCACCAACATTGCTTTTCTGCCTTTTCTTGTCAGGGTGGCATGAATCATATCCAGACAACCCCATCTTTGCTCCAAGCCCACTGTGTGTGTGTGTGTGTTTGTGTGTGTGTGTGTGTGTGTGTGTGTATTTTGGGCACCAACATTGGTTTTCTGCCTTTTCTTGTCAGGGTGGCATGAATCATATCCAGACAACCCCATCTTTGCTCCAAGCCCACTGTTGAATCAGCTGGTAGAAGAAAAGAAATTGGGAAAGAAGACTGGAGAAGGATTTTACAAATACAAATGAACTTTGTAATGTAACCTGGTGGTTTTTTTTCCTGCCCATGTAAGGGTAACTTGCATGCCACTTGGCATTTCCTTACTTGCTTAATCAGGGCCTTTATATATATATAAAGTCAATTCTGTGCACCTTAATTGTCATGTCTTTGAACCAATGGTATACCCTAGCCAATGATCTGTTCCCTTGATGTATAATTCTGAGACCTTAACACACTCAAGTGCCTTTCTTCTTGAGCTACTTTTTATTCACACACACGGGAGTGGCTCAGAGACTAAGCAGAAGCTGAGCTTATGGGTTTGTAACAATCTGTTAAACTGGGAGATATTTTATTGCAAATAAATTAGTCCCCAAATCAGCTGGAAATAGTATTTACATTGATTTTGATCCAGTAGATGGCAGTATGGCAATATCATTCTGAATTCATAGCCTGCATAGAAGCTGTTTTCATGTCACTGCTAGAATTTTTACCCAGTGTCTTGCCAACTTATACACACTGCTGTAAGTAACTAGGCATCTGCACTACGAGGCCTCATAGTCTATTGCCTTTATGAGCTGGCTGGATAGCTCAGTGAGATAGGTATCTGGCTGTGGAGACAGAGGCTGAGAGTTCAGTTCCCTGCTGTGAAACTCAGAAGAGCCAGCCTGTGTGGCCTTAGGCAGATTGCACAGACCTAGAATGTAACCCAGAAGAAGGGAATGGAAAAGCACTTCTGAGTACTGCCTTAAAAGGGTTGCTGTAAGTCAGAATTGGCTTGACAGCACACAATTATTATTGTCTTTATATTCAACTTTTACTTTGCAAGCACTTTACCTGCATTATATAATAGAAATGACACAGATTTGGAACAGCAGCATGAGGAAGGGAGATACTCTCTCTTTCCACCCACCCTTTAAAAGAATATGCTGCTAAGGAAAAAGATATGAAAAGAAACTCTTTCAGTTCTAGTGTTTCTTAGTTTCCATTAACTCCAAGGCCACCATAATACATTGTGGTTACATCTTCAGGAAAACTATCTATCAAGGGTCCCGCCCCCACTCCAAAGTATCTAAGTTGGTCAAGCATTTCCTTTATTCTTATTAACATTCTCTTGCTGTAATTGGATTAAAAAAACCTAGAGAGAAGCTGGTAGAGTAAAACAAACAAACAAACAAATCCCAGTGGTTTGTACTTGATTAGAATTTATGGACTTCTCTTTTGTTTGTATTAAAAGATGATTGAATTAACATGAATATCTTCAGCCAAACAAAAGCAGCCCAGGAACAACTACCTGTATTTTAGTTGTTGTTGATTTGGAACAAGCAGTGAATGAGCTGATTCTTAAATAAGTTTTTGTAAATGAGATCTAAGAAAATGTATCAGGTTTTGTTCTTCCCCCAAAATAAAAAACACTTGTAATATGTGATTTTCATTAACTAGCCCGGTGAAGCTTTTTGCTTCCTTTTTCTCTTTGTGATATTTTAATGGAATTACCCTGTTTCCTCGAAAATAAGACGTAACATGAAAATAAGCCCTAGTATGATTTTTCAGGATGCTCGTAATATAAGCGCTACCCCCAAAATAAGCCCTAGTTAAGTGAAAACCCACCCTCCACCATTGTGCAGCAACCAGAGGAAGATGGCATGACTGTATTTGAATAAATGTAGATTGTTGTACATGAAAAAAAAAATAAAACATCCCCTGAAAATAAGCCCTACTGTGTTTTTTGGAACAAAAATTAATATAAGACCCTGTCTTATTTTCGGGGAAACACAGTAGATACTGGATTCTTAGACCGTCAGACCTTCAGGTGATAAAGGGAGACCTTTGACTGTCTAGATGTTTTGGACATCAAATTCCAGGAAACGCAGCCTGCATGGCTAATGATCAAAGAACTGTGGGAGCTGTACTCCAGAAATTATTTTGTTGGAGGGAGAGGCAAATGTTTACTCAGTGTAAACTCTCAGATAGGCAGCCATGCAAAAATTATGCACATCATTTATGATTGCATCTTAGAAGTACTTTTAAGAGGCAACAGTACAGTAAGTTCATAGAATTTGGTACAAAGGTAGTAGCAAGTATGTGCATTTTGGAATTTAAAAATGTTCATATAACTGCATTGCTTTAAAGATCTTGCAAGGAAGTACAATCACATAGGTATGTTCCATCCATGTTTTTGTTCAGTACTGTACAGTATAAATTCCCCACCTTGAAAAGGGTTGTCATGAGTCAGAATTGACTTGACTGTACATGTTTATGATTATGTTCTACGTTAAGTAGGTAGTGAGGAATCATTGACCTTCCATGTATGTTAGTCTGCGACACCCCCCCATCTGGCCCATCCAGCACAGACAGGGTTACCAAAACATGTGGGGGAGTGAAATGTTCCCCATTCAACACTCATATGGTCAAACTGCTTTCCATTAGGTCAAGCTGCCCTGCTTCCTCTTATCTTCCCCACTTCATAGAGGCATACGAGTCTGCCAAGTATAAGAAAGTTCATTTAAAAATCAAGATAGTCTTTCAGAGCTAGTTTAGAACTGGACATAGATAAGCAACGTTCACATTAAAAATCCATGGTGATACGAGGCTCATTAAATACTTGCAGTGCTGCAAATATTTCTACTTTCAGTATTTAGAACTTGGGAGTTAAAGGAGGGTTTTCATTAGCAGGGATGAAATGCAGGGTAGACTTGGCCTACATAATTATTATCTTGGGGTCTCAGCATTTCGCATCAAGCTTGTGTTTATATGGAGCAGAAGTAGGAAACTCAGAGTATGACAGCACATCTAGAAAGTTAAGTTCATGGGAATGTACACGGGTCAATGACATGGCATTGGGATTGTTGGCAGCAATTCTGTGTTGAGTATAACATCTTGTGGGCTCAAGAAAAAAAATTATAGTCTCATGGTTGCTACAGATCAGTGGTTCCCAAACTGTTCAGATCTATACTGCCCTTTTAAAGTCCTGAGACCCCTCCATCTTCTCATCTCTCATTTACCCAATCACCTTTTACCAAAAGAAAATTGTAACAGATGAACATAATAAATTTATTTTAAATTAAAAATGGGCTCAAATAATTTTTCTTGAGAAATCCTCAGTTCTAGTAACAGTATCTGCCTTATAAATCTGCTTAAGCTAATAAAAATATTTCCAAAATTGGGAATTGAATGGTTTCCCAGGATAATTTGTGGCCTAAGGAACAAAGCATATAAAAATATATCCGTGGCTTAGCATAATGCATACACACACACCCAAAGAAACGTGCAGCCTGATCTCATCCTTAGATCCATTAATGTTGGGGTGGGGTGTGTGTGTCTCTCCTCTTTCATATGTGCAAAATTGCAATCTGAGTCACAACTACTTTCCATTCTGTTGGTGTCAGTTAAAAACAAACTGCAGCTGGAGTGTACACACAGGCTAGAAACATATACAGTATAAGTGATGAACACTACATGCACGATCCAATATTATTTTGCTCTTAAAGATCAAAGTATATACATTTTGAATCAAATAACTCATTTTAGCCAGTTAAGAAGTATTTTGTAGTTTTATTACAAAGCTTTTATTTAAAAAACAAAACAAAAAATGCTCAGCACATTAACTCAAACTGGAATGACAAAATATATATCAGTTGACAATTTTTGGCAAAGGCTGTGCCTTAACTATTTTTAAAAAATGGGTACATCAATGATCATTTCAACAACTGGCATAAAATCCCACTAAACAGGCTAACAAAAACATACAAATACAGAACAATTGAAGTAATAATAATTCAAGTGCTGGGCTTTTTTTTCTTACAAGGAAATTCAGGATAGGTGAGTAGGAGAGCTCACTGCAGTCAGATCTGATGAAGTATGTTGCCATTACACATACAGAGTAAGTGGAATAGATCGACATGGCTAGTGACTAGCTGAGTGTTATGTTTAGTATTAACTAGCACACGTATACAATGAGGGATTCTTATCTGTTACAAATGGTTATCCAAAACAAAACAAAACAACAACAAAAAAGCCACAGTTTTCTAAATAGTTTGTTCCTCTCCTCTGGGTGGGTGGGAATTTCCTTTTATTTTACTTTTTTTTAAAAAGGATGGTTGTGGATTTCAATGCATCTTTAAAAGCTCAAAGACAATAAAAATGTACACCAAGGAAATAACTAAAATATAAAAGCATTCAAGTTTTCATTTTAGAAGCTCAAAATCCAAGATTGATCCTTTCGCACCATTAAATAAACTTAAAATTGTGCCTTCCTTAACAAATTAATTTTGTTCCTTCGGTGTGAAGGGCCAGGATGGGAGTTGCGGCTGGATTACATTGTTCTGTTGGCTGAAGCAAAACAAACACAGCCCAACTATGTTGTTGCTGACTCAGTACTGACAACATATGAGATACAAAATGTAGGAGTGTAAGGCGGAGTGAAGATTAAAAGCAACTCTGCTGACTGGGGAAGGTCTGAAATGCTCTTCTGGCTCTCTCTTACTGTATCAGATTTAGAACACCATGATAGCAAAAGGGGCCTGGCAGTGATTGTCTTTATGGTTCAGTGTCTTTGCAGCAGTGACATCAGGGTGAGTTTGGACATCCTAGACATGCTCCTTAGTGGTGGTCTGTGCAGATGAAGGATATGCCTGGAGATTAACAAGCTTCCATTTCAAGGAGGGGCCCTGGTGTCGCTGCCTTCGCTTTGCACGTGGAGAAAGCATTTCTCTTCCCACCTGCCAGAATAGTAAGAACAAAAATTTTAGTTTTAAAAAAAGATCTATTGAGATACTGTTAGTTCTCATTCATTTGTTTTAATCATACCAAAGCATCCATGTAAAGCATTGAAAGTTTTATAGGTGCTTCACATATATGACATCAGTAACAGCCAGCCTGTAAAGCAGGTTAGAATTTACCTTTTGTTGCATTTATACCCCACCTTTCCTCCAGTGAGCTTCGGCATTCATGACTCTCTTTCACAACTTTATCCTCACAGCCAGCCCATTAAGACCAGTCGCATGCAAAGCAAGTGATGGTCTAAAGTCATCTAAGAGGAATACACATGGCTCAGGAGACGTGAACCTGACCCTTGCAAGTCCCACTCAAATACATTGACCATTATGCCACAACTATAATACAACTACTGGAGAAACCTGCCAGAGCAAGTGTGGGGTATATTTGGGTTCGTTAATCTTTGGACTTTTTTCTCCAGATTGCAACCCCTCTATGGCCGCTCACAACCCAGGCCAATAATACTGTCTAGTTTGCCTCCAAGCTGTCAAGTTGATGCAGAGACATTTGCAGACGTTCAAAAAAGAACATTCTGGGTGCAATTTTGTTATTGTTGCTACAAGATTCACAGCTGTTGCCCTACCTGCTTGTTGCTCTGGCCAAACACATTACCAGAATGCAGATCTGACACTTTTTTTCTCATGAGAGGCCTCAAAGGGAAAAATAATTTATGATAAGAGGTTTCATACCTAAAAGTTATCTACTGAATTAGTGCTAACACGGTGCAATTTGAACTAGAAATTTCTGAGCTCACAACTCCATCTTTTTCTCACATTCTGTCGTTACAGACAGGCCCTGCATCTTGTTCCCATACCGGGCTTCCCGGTTATGGATCAGTCAGTATATAAAATCATTAAAAGTCATTAACTTTCTTCTGTCTTGGAACATATTGTTAAACACATTGTTAAACAAACTGTACTACCTGTTTTTGAAAACATGATTTAATATTATCAAATGCTTTAGATTCGAGGCCCCAAATAGTCAGACTTAGAACATCCTTTTTTTTTTTTTTTTTTTTTGCTAGAATCATTTGACTGCACCAACTATCCAGTACACCAAATGCTCCTTTTACTGATTCACCATTCAAGTCCTGTTCCTATCTTCACACTGCCTGTTCAGAACATGTGGATGGGAGGAACTGTACTGGGCTCTAATGCTATTCTCCCCACATTCGGTGGGAAGTGTGAACATGTTTCGTGCGTTCATGCAATGAAATCACACTGTGTACCTGATTGCACAGAACAGCCAATGAACTGCACCCACGAACATATGAAAAAATCCTTTTACAGCTTTCACTGTGACCAGCATGGCAAAGGCTGGAAGCTACAATTTCATGTGCAGTAAGACTCTTTTCCCCCTATGATTTGAACCTTTTGTGGAAGCTGATTTAGGTATCTGGCTGCAAACAGGATGGGAGTTTGACTCCCTGTTGTGCCTCCTGCAAGTAGAACCAGCCTGTGTGGCCTTGGGCAAGCTGCATAGTCCCAGGGCACTCCCATAAGAAGAGAATGGTAAACCATCACCTGGAAAATCCTAAAACAGGTTGCCATAAGTCAGACTTGACAGCACAATTATTATTACAAAATATAATTGAAACAGTGTCCCCACCAAGAATACCCGATAATCAAAATTAAATGGCCACCAAAGGAGTAATCAAAAGCTAGCCTGGGAGAATAAACCAATGAAACAGCTATCTAAACTACTGAGAGGAAATTCCACAACTTTATAGGAACCTCTGAAAAGGCACTGCTCTGATCATGCTTCCAACAAACACAATAAAGCCTGCTGACCCAGACTCGTGAGGCAAGTGGGTTCATAGGGTAGTGTAGTTTCTGAAAATTGGAGGGAATCTTGTGGCACCTTAAATTGATGCCAAAGGGGATCTATTTGAATCCTACTCTACAGCATTTTCTAAAGTGCTATAGGAAATATGTCTGTAGAAGGAACATGTGAGAACATTTGGTCATTTGTGCGCACTTGGCTAGGAAGGAAACTCATCTGCCAAGTGGTTGCTATAAAAGGCCACTCGGACCAGCTGTCTCTTAGATCCTGTGACTGAAAGTG